TTTTGTGAGGGTGGGCCCCCCCCCCCCCCCCCGGCTTTTTTCAGAGAAGGGCTCCATTATCATTGGAAAGAGACATCCCAGACCTAGCAAAGCAAATGGGGCGGTGCATTCCAAAGATAGACAACTCCTTCTCCAGTTACAGTCAGGGAGAGAAGAAACAGATTGGTTTTTTTTTTTTTAAAGGCCCTGTCTCTTAGCTGCTTTGTGGCTCCTATCCCCTCCTCCCCAGGCCATAATCAGAGAGTGGTGGGGCAGTGCTTTCCAAAGATGGCCCCTCTTCAGTTATGGCTGGGGAGAGACAAGGTGGAAAACAGGCTAGACGCAAAGGCACTGTGGAATACACACCCATTTGCCCTGGACCAAAGCAGCGGCATGGGGAAGGGGAAGAGTGGGAGCCTCCTTATAGCCTTGTGGCCACAGCTTGAAACAGGGAGCAGGAAGGATGAGAGCAGGCATGCCTGCAAGGACTGGGCTTCAGACATTCTGCCTCTGGAGAACACCAGGGACCCAAGCTCTCCCTCCCGCCAGTCTGTGCTGCCACTGCTGCCCTGCACATCACCAGGGCAGCATGGAGACAGCCGACGGATCCAGCCCTAAGCCTGCATCCTGCGTGTTCAGATCAGAAATGAGGGGAAAAGTCACCACGGGGACAACCCTAAGCATACAGACTGTGATGCAGCTAAGCTCAAGATACCTGTTCAGGTTGGTTGGCATTGGAAAGTGGGGTGACCATCCAGATGACATTAAGGTTCGTGAGCGCAGCACTGGTGGTGAAGGTACAGGGCAGGACTGCCGTCTGGCCCCGAGCCACTTCCACACTCCGTGTGTTCATGAACACTTCCAGGGGGCTCACCAGACCTGCAAAGAAAGAGGGGAAGTAGTCGGTCATTCCTCAGTTTCCCCTGTGTTTTGCATGAGAGGCTCTGGGCAAAGGCAACTCGCGATGTCATAAGAACATAAGAACATAAGAGACGCCAATGTTGGATCAGGCCAAAGGCCCATCCAGTCCAACACTCTGTGTCACACAGTGGCCAGAAATACCAGGTGCCATCAGGAGGTCCACCAGTGGGGCCAGGACATTAGAAGCCCTCCCACTGTTGACCCCCCCCCCAAGCATCACTTGCCCCAGAGTCCCTATCTATACCTTGTGGCTAATAGCCACTGATGGACCTCTGTACTGGGCGCCCCCCCCCCCCGGTTCCTTTTGTCCTGCAAGAGGGAGAGAAGCTCGTGAAAGTGAGGGGTCTTCAGACACAGATAAGAAAGAAGAGCCTATACCTTCAAAAGCCCTTTTCCATGTATAATGACAAATAAGCCAGCAAGATCAGTCAGTATCTTGCTTTACAGGTTTCTAGCTCTCTCCTCTCTCCTGCTTATTCTGCCAATTTGCATTACATGTAGAACATTTTCACAAATGTTCCATTGCATGATTTGTGCTACAAAATATTAAGAAAAGGCACTGGCAGCTTACTGTGATAATGTATTTTATTTACATTTATACCCCACCTTTCTCCCCAGCAGGGACACAAAGCAGGGTACATCATTCTCCTCACCCCCATTTTAATTTCACAACTTTGTGACGTAGGCTCAGTTGAGTGTGTGTGACTGGCCCAAGGCCACTCAACAAGCTTCCAAGACAGAGTGGGGATCTGAACTTGCGTCTCCCAGATCCTAGTTTGTCACTCTAACCACTACACCACGTGCAAGTGTGACTGTATTTTTCCAGGGCTCACAATAACTCTTCACGTTACGTCAAGTTACTTGAAGTTCAATAACTCTGGTAACCCACCTGCCATCCAGCAGTGTAGCAAAAAGTCAGAGATCAGCAGATTTTGTATTTCAAGCCCCCATCGCTTCAACTAGTAGCTGCTAGACCAGACAGCAAAGATCTCCCCAAAACTGGACATGGTTATGGCCAGAAAATGTTGACAATACCGTTCAAAGGAAAAAAAGTATTTTAAAAACATCCTTCCAATCCTAAAACACCCCTCCCTCCCCCCATACCTTTGACTAGCACACAGGCAAAATCCATGCATCAACCAGTCTATCAGGCTTACCCAATTATTCTGGCTACACCAGGAAAGGATGTTATAAAGAAAAGGCAATGTGTTTCCACGTTCCAGGAACCGACGCCTGCAGTGACAGGCTGTAGTAGACATGCCAAGATGATAACCAGCTTCCCTTCTTCCCTGCTGAGCCACTAAGCATCCTCCCTTTCCTCCCTCCTTTCCTAGGCCTCCAGCCCCCTCCAGCCACGCTTCCACCTTGGCCCAATTTCGGAGACCTCCCGCAGCCTTAAGTAATCCAGGGCAGTCAGTGCCTCCCGGTGTACACAGGAAGCAGGAGAAAGATTCCTATGGCTAAGCTAAACAGCACCTGCAGGGCTACAGCTGGGAAAGGCACACACAACTGCTCCTGACAGGTGAACCCAGCAAAGGTGAGGAGGGCTTTGGGGGGGGGGGGGATGCCTCTGCTTATGTCAGGACAGGCTGTTTTTGACCCCCATGGGGCACCGCAGAGGCACTGAAAGCCAAGGGAAGGCAGAGGAAGTGGTAGAGCTCTGCATGCTCATTGTTTCAGCCAAGGCTCCCCAAGGCTCCCATCAGCATCATTTCTTATTTCTAGTACTTAACTAAGCACTTTACAGTAAATAAAGATTTCATAACAGTCCCTGCCTGCAGGCTCATACAGTCTCTCTGATCTACGCATTCATATCTCACAACAGTGCAACAAAATAGTATTTTTCATTTTCAATTAAGAGGCTGAGCAACAAAAAACCAACAATGCACAGATGTGTGCGCCCGAAGATATGTGTCAGGACGCTTGGACAGTCCTGCACAGACAAACGTGAACATGATTAAGTACCAGTTAATAACCACTCAACAGACTCCACGGGTTATGCTTTCTCCAAGCTGAAGCTGGAGGTGTCAGTATGGTGGTGGCGCCAGTGGGGAGACAAGGATTTGTGCAGGGGTGGGCAGGCCATTATGGCGACTAGAACTTTTCCTGGGAGGCCAGTGCTCCCCCCACCAGGGGTTGGCCAGCCCTGTGGCAGAGGGTCAGCACCCAGTTCACCTGAGCCTGGCTCAGCAGGCTGTCTCCCCCTCCCCCCTTGTGGTGGGATGGGCCAGGAGCCATTCTCAGGTCCATTTCCCCCTCCCGTTCCACCCACGGATGTGTTTGATGACTTTCTGATTTAAAATTCCTCACCCTAGATGTAAAAAATTAGTACATCAGAGAAAGAGCTAGCCTAAACCGTAAACTAGGGGTTTGGGGTTTTTTTAAGAATGGGAGGTTTGATGTGTCCCTCCATTTGGGAAAGCAAGATCCTGACAGCAGCTTGACTTGGGTTTAGTCCTGGGACAGCATGACGTCTTGGTTCTGTTGAATGATGCTCCTCACCTCGTCTGAGTTTTCCATTTTTACAAGTTTATCCATTTAAATATCTACACCCAGTAACGGATTAGCCATGAGAGCTCTATCATTTTGGCAGGGGGGGGGGGGGCCGGGGGGGGGGGGGGACACAGCACATGGCTTACTTGCTTAAAGCATCTGTGACCAGAAGCTACAGCAAGCAGACATTCTGCAAACAGAAACATCTACTGCAAGCAGACATTCCCAGATTCAATCCCTGGTATCTCCAGTCAAAAGGATCAGGAAGTACAAACCCCACCGGAGATGCTGCAGTCCCTCTGCTGGAGTAGACAGTACTGTACCTCAACAGACCAATGGACTGACTCAGTATCTGGCAGCTTTATGTGTTATTATGTGTTCCCATAAGTATGTGGTGTAGCTTTGCCTTGATTACCGTATGGGGTCTTCCAGTGCCATCATTCTTACCTACCAAGAGAGCTTTGACAAAGATGACTTTGATTATTCACTTTTGGACTTTTGTCTTTTCAGATATTTCTCACCATGCAGAGATTACACTCAAGTGCCAGATCACATCTAAAAATTCTGTTTTACGGAACCGGTGCAAAGCACTCACTATTTGTTGTTCTAAATGGAAATGCATTAATTTAAAAACCAAAAAGATATATTAGGTCACTTCATATGCACCTCTTTGTGCACAACACAGAGATAAAAGGAGTCCAAAACTGGAACTGCCCTAAATCTAATAGCCGAATTCCCTCCAACAGAACCATCTCTGAGTCATCTGATTATGTATAGTCACAGTGTGTTCCCCAGACACAGGCTATTTGCATAAATGTTATTGTATGAGGTTTCAAAATAGAATTAGGTTCCTGGTTAGAAAAAGAACAAATCTTACTGATTCCAATTCAGAAAGAGTTTCTAAAGTATCAGATTATTTATCTGGACAAATCGGTATTTTGGATGTCCAAAATTAGACCCTGACACTTGGAGATATTATGAAGCCTTTTGCAGAGGTTAATTATTGGTATGTGCCAATACCATCATCTGTGCTTTCTGAGGGTTCACAGAAGTCCTTAATCCTACTGCACGGGGTTCACAGATGTTAGAAATCATGAGAATCAGCAAACCTGAATAAACCACTTTAAGTGTAACTAGGAAAAAGGCCCGTTGTGGAAATAAATACAACGAACTCTAGAAAGAGGCTCTGGGCGGGTGCCCCGGCCTTAGACACTTAGTGTCAATTTGTTGTGGTGACCTCAGCAGGGTATAATGACACTGAGTCCACCATTTTTTCCAGAGGCACTGATCTCTGCTACCTAAAGAACAGTTGTAATTTTGAGTGATCTCCAGCCCTCACCTGGAGACTGGCAACGATGGTTCCCCAGGAGGGAATGGTTGGTTGGGAGGGTGGAGTCTATGGCTTTGTACCGGTCTGAGGTCCCACGCCTCCTGAAACCTCACCCTCTCCAGGCTCCATTCCTCACAAATCCAGGAATTTCCCACCTGGAGTTGGCAACCCTATCTCCTTCCCAGCCAATCATCAGCCTACCTTTATTTCCCCCTCACTCTTCAGCTTTCCACCCCCCACACACCTGCAGCCTCTCCCGTGCTCTGAAGCCCTGACTGCTACGTCACATTGGCAGTCATACGGGGGCCATCTCAGCAGTATATAAGGATACAGAGCCCACCATTTTATCCAGGGGAACTGATCTCTGCCATCTGGAAAGCAGTTGTAATTCTGAGTGATCTCCGGCCCTCACCTGGAGATTGGACACATTTTACCTCAGAACAGCAAACCGTTTAGAATGTTAGAGGCAAAAGTCACATATGCAAATGATCTCTGTGTTCCGAGGCAAAGGCCAATGAGGCTGCATATGCAAATAACCTCTGTGTTCTGACTGGCTATGGGGGGGAGAGGAACAGCAAAATGTTTAGAATGTTGGAGGCAGAGGTCATTTTGGGGGGGAACACGGGGGATCGCAGTTCCCCCGGGCGAGGTACGGGGGCGGGGCACATGACGAAGCCCCGCCCCCTGCTTCCGGCCGCCCCGCTTCCGGCCCTCATTTAGCCAGGAGGAGGCAGGAGAAGAGGGAGGGTAAGTTGCTTCCTCCCTGCCTCTCCCCACCCCTGCCTGCCTGGGGCCAGGGAGGGCCTTCGCGGGGCTTCCTTGCACTCCCGCCGGCCTTGCAGGTCCACCGCCGGGCCCCTCATGGGGCTCGGCAGTGGAGCTGCAAGGCTGCTGCCAGCGGCCGGGACTGTTGGGGGCGGGATGTGTGGCCTTATGACACACTTCCGGTGATGTCAGGGGGTGTGGCCTTATGACACTCTTCCGGTGATGTCAGGGGGTGTGGCATATGCTAATGAGTTATGCTAATGAGTTCCCCTTGCTCTTTTTCTACTAAATGACCCCTGGTTGGAGGCAAGACTCAAGCAATGCAGCCAGTGGATAGGGACAGATTCTGAGTGACACACCAGGGGGCCAA